CTTTCTATTTTCAGGAAAAACATTTACAACTAAAAGAAAGGAAGGATCTGATTGGACGAGAGAACTGCAGGTACACAGAGGAAACGGGAACAGTCCTATGCAGTCATTTCAACGGTGTGTACTGCAGTGTTGTCAGCCTCGGCGCAGTTGGCGCCCTCGTTGGTGGTGCTGCGGCTCCGGACGCCGTCTGTGGAGCCCACGCTGGAGGCCGAGTGAGTCCTGGAGCGAACCAGCCGGGTCATCCCCGCCGTGGGCACTGAGGGGGCGACACAGATGAGAACGCGTTAGTGACAGAGTAACAGAGGGCGGAGCCAGCGAATGTATGAGCGGAGGCTGATTTGAATCGTCCGCGGTGAGCCGAGCCGCTGGATTCAAATCTGATGAGTCTGTTCACACTGAAGCGTTGTCCTGTCATGCGTGATGCTCACTTTACACACAGACGAAGAGAAGCCGCTGTGACATTCAGGCCTTCTGCACAACAGGAAGTCCACGTGTTCTGCTTTCATCCCACTGCTCTCATTCTCCGGACGGATGACTACGTTTCAGGAGGACACGAATCGAAGGTTGTGGTACTTTGTTGTCAAAATAAAAGCAACAAATCACTGACAACCAAAGAATAATGTTGCTGTGGATCCACCTCTGTTTGGGTCCATGTTTATTACTAACTTCAATATACAAGATCAATATTCCAAACACTGGGAAACGCTCACCTGTCAGCACGAAACACAACCTGTAGCAACCAAAAGCTTAAATAAACTAGAATACCTCAAACAGGAAAAGTAAAGATGGCGGAACAAACAGAGTTTTTGAACTGCGAACCTTGTAAAGCTACTTTAACGAGAATAAAATATGGATATGGAAATGAGCAGAATTGATACCCTGTGCTTGTGTAAATGCAAATCCTGGATCTTTAAGCTCGCAGGTCCTCAGTATAAACTCAGATGTTCTGCTGTGCTCGTGAATATCGCAGCTAATGGTCCAGTGTGGGCTCCCTCTGCACGCTCCCTCATCTAAACACAAGCCCTGTGAATGGTTCAGGTGCAGACTATCACCTGCAACACATCCTGACCAACTCTCCAGCCCTCCGTTCATGTGAGAAAACTCACTTCGACTTGAGCGAAGGACTGAGTCCTGATTGTCCTGCTCTGTCTCTTCGCTGAGTGTCCCGGTGTTTTGATAAACTGTGTCAAAAGTGACACTTTCAGAGCTACTTCCTTTTGTGTAGCATGTTTCTGAAGCGCTGAGGTTTGTACAGCAGTGGAAACAAAGCAGAAGAGTTCACAGGAAGTGTTGGATTCCTGCGGTGGGACAGGTGTGTTCTCGGCCTCATAGCTTTCTCATGTCTCAGTGTTTTCAGCCTTTCAGACACGAGCAGCAGCTCAGAGTCGAGCCCGAGAGCCGACAGTGTGAACAGAGA